AAATAGCGCAAAAGAGCAGTGGACCTTAATGTTAAAATCTTGGATTTGAGTAGTACGTTTCTTATGGGAGCCAACTTTCCCAACAAGATCGTGAAGCATCTCTTACCAGAACACATTCGCCACAACTTTATATCCGATGGTGATCACATAATCATTGATGGTCTCCATGCAGAAGCTCCGGACGACTTGGTATGTGTATTTTATTCTTATTATCGTTTAGGTGTCATTTGTGTGCTACTGTTTTGATCCAAAATTTAGAGATAATACCCTTAAAAACCTTGTAAGCCTTAAAAATTTAACTTGTGGGATCATTAATTCCATAAACACTTTGAATAATGAAAATGGTTTAACTACTTGTGTCTCGTAAAGAACTCCTTATTTGTAAAGTATAACAGCAGTGATTGACATTCTAGACTACTGAGATTTTTTAGTGCATAAAGTCTGTACTTCACCTGGTTAAAGGTGCTTTATGACAGAGATACATGCATTGGGTAAAAGTTTGTCCCACCATACCATTAGAACAGTACTCCAAAGCTTCAGTCAAGTATGCTGTTGTATCCCAGGCTATTTTATGACTCCAAAAGCTTTATTCATCTTGTGTAAACTGTTACTTTATTTTGAAAGCAGTGATCATCTGTAGATAAAGTGGTGAGTGTTAGCCTGTGTTACTGTTGCATAGGACTTTATGTTATGGTATTTATCTACTTCACTGTTTACTTTTTAAATATAGGTGCGAGAAGCTGCTTATAAAATTTTTCTTTATCCCAACGCTGGTCAATTGAAGTGTTTAGAAGAATTGCTCAGCAATAGAGATCTTCTGGCAAAGTTAGTAGGGTATTCTACATTTTCCCACAGGGCTCTCCAGGGAACAATAGCTAAAAATCCAGGTAAGCCTGTTTCTCCAACTTTTAAGGACAAAATAGGGGTTTTATGAAACAACTGCTGATTTTAAGCCATCTATAAATTAGTGTTCTATTTTTAATACAGAGTGCCATTTATTGTGATTTTCTACATATTTTAATAGGACTGGTTTTTAAGGAGAGCTAATAATTTGGCATATATTTCATGTGCATGTTGAAAGTAGATCATAACCTAAACTTTCATTTGATGCTGGCTCAGATTATTTTCATTTTAACTCAACTAGTTTCTGTGATCAGGCTAATGAAATTAATTAAATTAGGGTGAGAGGATGTGAAATGTCAAGGTTAAATGTAGGCCATACAAAAACACATTGTCCTGGCCGGGCGCAGTGGCTCACGCCTGTAATCCTAGCTCTCTGGGAGGCCAAGGCCGGCGGATTGTTTGAGCTCAGGAGTTCGAAACCAGCCTGAGCAAGAGCGAGACCCCGTCTCTACTAAAAATAGAAAGAAATTAATTGGACAACTAAAAATATATAGAAAAAATTAGCCGGGCATGGTGGCGCATGCCTGTAGTCCCAGCTACTTGGGAGGCTGAGGCAGTAGGATTGCTTGAGCCCAGGAGTTTGAGGTTGCTGTGAGCTAGGCTGACGCCACGGCACTCTAGCCCAGGCAAAAGAGTGAGACTCTGTCTCAAAAAAAAAAAAAAAAAAAAACCACATTGTCCTATAAGCCTCCTTTTCAGAGGGAAGAGTACTGCTTGGGAAGGTCTATGCTAGGTGTGGGGGGTGGGGGAGAAGTGTCTTTCCTTGGGTTTGTGATAAACTTGTCTTCTGCTATGTTGAGTTCCTTATGATTAAATAATGTCTAAGAGAAAATGTTATACAATAAAAATGTAAATGTATATATAAAGTTTTTTCAAAAGTGTTTATTAAATTCCAGTTGTTGGCCAGGCACGGTGGCTCACACCTATAATCTTAGCACTTTGGGAGGCTGAGGTGGGAGGATCGCCCAGGAATTGGAGACTAGCCTGGGAATAGCGAAACCCAGTCTCTACAAAAAAATTAAAAAATTAGCTTGGTGTGGTGGTGCGTGCCTGTAGTCCCAGCTACTCAGGAGACTGAGGCAGGAGGATCACTTGGGCCCAGGAGTTGGAGGCTGCAGTGAGCTATGACAACGCCACTGTACTCCAGCCTTGGCAACAGGGCAAGACCCTGTCTCTTAAAAAAAAAAAATCCAATTGTAATTTAGGCAGTGAGTCATGAGTCATGAGTCAGGAGTCAGGAGTAGGGTGATTGCGCTGGTGGAGCTGCGTAGACTCAAGATCAGCTGGGTCAGTAGTCCTAGCTACTCAGGAGGCAGAGGCAGGAGGATCGCTTGAGCCTGGGAGTTCGAGTCTAGCCTAGGCAACGTAGCAAGACTCTGTCTCTATAAAACAATTTTTTAAAAAATCTTTGAGGTTGAAGTTATAAGACTTAGTCGTGGGATGAGAGCAAGGAGGAGACAGTGTGACAGATGCCCTTGGTTTCTGGTGTGCATGTTGACCCTGGAAATGAACTCTGTTTGGGTGAAGATCACATCCTTAATTCAACTCTGTCTTTATGCCTTCTGTATTCATGTTCGTGTTCAACTTCTCCAAACTTCTCTTAAATCCACCCAATTTTATTTCTCACTCTTTCACAAATAGCTGTTTCCCTTGACCTGTCAAGGCTCTCTGTTAAGCCACAGGTACGGCACACTCATTCCAGCCTGGGTACCATTGCTCGTGTTGTTCCCATGTGGGGAACAGCTTCCTCCTCCCAATCTGTCTATTAAAATCTCATCCAGTTTTCCAGGGCTCAGCTCAAAACCTGCCTCTTTCATGAAGCCTTTTAAACTTTTTCTCTTTCCTTGGACTCCCTTGTCCCCGAACCCTTGAAGCACTTACAATGTGTTTCTTGTAATTTAGCTCCTAAATAGACATTATATGTATGCTATGTATTATATGTGAATTTTTTTATTATATGTTTTTCTATAGACCCTGTTGTTACCAGTTTGATTATAATAGTACTGTACTTTAATTTTTATATTATTATAATATGAAATAATAATATTAGAACATTATTCAGTGCTTACTCTGTCAGTATCTCATTTAATTCCTCTGAAGCCTTGTAAAGTAGGTATTTGTAGCCATGCCACAGATAAGGAATCTAAGGTTAGGTTATACGGCTGAAAAGTGGCAGGACCAAAATGTAAACACAGTCTAAATTTACAGTTTTCCATCGGCTGCTTGAGACCAAATGCCATGTCTTTTATATCATCTACATCCTCTATTTTCATTCATTGATTCAACAAACAATTTGCTGAGTGCTACTACATGTCAGATATTAGTCTAGGCCCTGGAAATAAATCAATATATAAAGCAGATGGAAATTCCTATCCTTATGTAGCTTACATTCTTATGAGGGAAGACAGTTAAGGACAAAGTAAGTAGGTGTAAGTACATGATATGTTGTTGGTCACCACAAGCTGTGGAGAAAATTGAATATGGTTGGGGATAAGTGTGTGGGGTGGTGTTGCAGTTTAGACGGCGTTGTCGGAGAGGGCACGCTGGGAACGTGACGTGTGGGCGTGCTGTTGTCAGGGGTGCAGGAGTGAGGCTGTGGCTCTCTGGGCATAGAAGGTTGCAGGTAAAGGCACCAGCAAGTGCTGAAGTGTTGAGGCAGAAAAGTGCCTGCCATGTTTGAGGAGAAGCCAAGAGGGCAGAGTGGCCCCAGGGGAGCGAGTGAGGGGGCAGTGGTGAGAGCCGGGAACAGACTGATGAGGTTGGCTTCCCCGGGGGCTTTGCTTGGGGTTGCTTGGGGCCGGTTGGGAGTTCCTTGGGGGTTTTGGGCGGGGAGTTGCTTTGTTCCACTTTGGAACGCTAATGGTTAGTCGTGAGCTGCTGATACTGAGAATAGACTGCGGCAGGGCAAGGGTAGAGGAGAGACCACTGAGACGCCATTGTGTGATAACCATGATGAGAAATGACAGCATGTTGGCCAGATGGCAGCAGTGAAGGTGGTAAGATGTGATCAGATTCTGTGTATGTAGCATTTTAAAGAGAGAGAGTCAAAGTTTTTGACCCAAGCAACTATAAAGAGAGAGTTGCTGTTAGCTAAGATAGAGAAGACCAGGAGCTTGGTTTTGTTCCAGTGAAGTTTGAGATGCCAGTTGAGGTTCAAGTGGCAACGTCCAGTAGGCAGTTAGACGTACAAGAGTGTGGCCTTGAGACAGTTCCGAGCTGGAGGTATAAATCTGAATCTTTGTTTAAAGTCATGAGACTCCGAGATCACCAGGGGAGGGCACTTAAAGAACAGAAGTCCAAGAACTGAGCTCTGGGGCCCTCCAAATTTAAGAGGTCAGGTGTATGAGGAGAACCAGTGAAGCCCACTGAGAAGGAATGGTCGGTGGAAGAGGGGGAAGTGAACGGAGCAGGTGGTCCTGGAAGACATGCAAAAGAAATGTCTTAGGGAGAAGGGAGTGATCAGCCGACTCACACCCTACGGCAGGTCAGAGGACTGGCTTGCCCACCAGCTCAGGGAGTGCAGATTGGAGCTCACCGGGTCTGCAGCAGCTGCTACAGGTACCGTTCCTGGGAAATGACCCTTGTTCACTAAGCACTTGGGGTAGTGATATTTTGCAGTGCGGCTGTTGTACACGTAATCACATAGGATGTGCCCTGTGTCTCTGAGGGATTTAAAATTTAGTTGAGGAGCCAGGTATATGCATATGTACTTATAAAGATAAATAATACAGGTTGGCCCATTTTCAGTGCCAGTTGAGTAGGGTAGACAAAACAATGCCCCAGGATTTTAGGAGTTCGGGAAGTTTGTCAGATGCCCTTGTCAGATGCTGTGGAAGGTTTCGTGAGGAGGGAAGCCTGAGGTGCACAGTGAAGGAGTGGGGGGCCGTCCGCGGGGCGCAGAAAGGAGGCAGGAAGGGGGTAAACGAGGTGAAGGCGGGCACTCGTGTGACCGCGAGTTAGGAAGTAGCTGTGCAGTGACGCATTTAGTTATTTTCAGGAGTCTTCAACTTCAGTCTTTTCAATATGACAGTTTTCCAGGTAGAGAAATTGAGGCAGATTCTTCACATACAAGATGACTAGAGAAATAAAATGGGTGAACGTTAGTAAAACGTGGTTATGGTTATTAAGAAATAAAAAGCATACACAGAGATTTGTGTGAAAACAGTTTTGTATGGCAGCTGGTGTATCCTGAAATGAAATTTCATTTTTGACTAAATAACAGTTTTTTTCTGAAATTCCTAATGTCATTTAATCTGGTACACGAGGCAGTGTTTTCAGAGTTAGCACATAGAAGACTCGTGAAGTATTGACAGCAGAAGAAACCCGGTGGTCTGGTCAAGGTTAATCTCCATTGTTTCCTTCGCCTTTTCTTTCACTCAGAAAGGAGATAACTTAAACTCAAAAGAGGGCAAGAAACTTAAACCCATATGAAAGATCATCTGGAAAATATAAAAACAATGTTTGAGGAAAACTAAAATACATATGAAAGCTCTATACACATAAGTCAGTGGCAAAAAGTGCTAAATTCAAAAAGACACACGAAACATTTCCTATCATGGGAAACGATGGTAATTCTATATTGCCTTTTTGGGTTTGTAAATTATAATGACTATGGCTAAAGTATTTGAATACATACTTTAAAAAAATTCTATCAGAACTTAAAGTTTTAATGTTCTGATTTTGTTCTGTTTTCTTTTAGTATTGATCCTGAGTGGATTAGTCTGCCGTCATATATAAAAATAGAAGTAGTTTCCCAGAAAAACACTGATTTTTAAAATTTAAGTTTCAGGAAGTTACACTTCTAAACTGTAATGATTTTTATGAACAAATCAGAGTCTAGCTATCTCTTTAAAACTTAGAAAATATCAGACATATCTAAGAAACTTATTTTTTTCATCTCTGCATATTGATAAAGACACATTGAAATTTTGGGTTTTTCTCTACCCTCCTATTAACTCTTTTAAGTTTGGGATATTGTTTAAGGCTTTGGATTATTACTATGTCAATTTAATTTGTTTTTCTAAGAGATCATTGTCATCTAGAAATATTTATTATATGCTTGGTATATGTTAGCAACCCTGCTTCCCTTTGAGAATCATCACTTTAATGGAGATGTAGTATATAGATTATGATTATTACATTATAATTTTAACAGATATGTTCATTGTATTTCATGTAATTGAAGACATTTTCTTTTGATTTCATTTTTAGAGACTGTCATGCAGTTCCTTGAGAAACTATCTGATAAACTTTCTGAAAGGTTAGTTTTTATTCTATTATTTAGTTTTTAAAGTTGTATGTTATTCAGTTTTTTAAGGAAGACTTATTAAAAATTAGGAAGTGACGTATTAAGAATATGAGTGTTGGAATATTGCGTCCTATCTGTGGACTCTTGAGCAGGTGCTCTTCACCGAGTCACACTTTGAAGGAACAGAGTTGTCTTCCTAAACTGCCAGTCTTGAAAACTTAGTCCCCTCTCATCAACCGATGGTCTTTAGGACCATATTATTCATATGTAATTTAAAAATTCTTCCAAAACCTTTTCGAAACTATTTATTTTCACTTGTACCATTAATTTTATAACAAGTTCATAAAGTAGTATTTCTCTTCTTTTGGCCTATATACAGGAGGCTTACAGATACGGTGGATTAATACATGTTTTTTATTTCATGTATTTTAAGAATGCTCTGTCTCAGTGTTTATAATTTCAAGCTGAAGTGTTTTCCTCTCTTCGGTGGGTCCCTCTGTTATACTCCTGCCTTCCCTGCCCCTCTCCTGCCCAGTCCCTTAGATTGCACACTTGCCATTCACTGGCCCTCTTCTAGGGCTTAGGTGGGAGGGTGGAGGATTCCAGAAAGAGGCATGTCGTGGTTTGTAAAAGAGGGCAATGTTTTCCTCTTTTCTTTCTCATAACGCTTTCTAAAATTTTGTTTGCCTTTTTTGTCTACACCAACACATTCATTTTAGCTGAAATTTCTGTTTTGGATTATAAACTCAGGCCTTAGAACCCATTCCTTTCTAGTTTGGATTATGTTTATAAATTCTAAAATTTTCTTTTAATAATCCTAATGAATCACTGTCTGTTTGCTATAAGCAAGAGGGACAGTTAATTATGTAATAGAGAATTTATTCTGCTTTGCTGTGTTGCTTAAGTGTTAGTTTTCTTTCTCTACTTGTGTGTAGCTATAGATCATATTTTGAGCAATAAATATCTCCATAATTTTACAGTTATATATAGGAGTTAATTCTAACAGACATGTTATATTCTACAAACATTAAGTATATATTTAATTATTGTTCAGCTAGAGTTTTTCTATAGGGGAAAAATTATGACTAACAATCTTAAATCTGTGTTAATATTCTTTTACAGAAATAACTTGTTTAGTCTCTTAACCTTTTTAAGGTGTAGCAAAAAGTAGTGATTTAATGTTTGCTAATTAATGCTTTGCATGTTTCTGTAACATTGCTAGTTTTTCCACACTTTTGAGACATGTCCACCATGATGCTTTTTAAGGTAGAAATTGCAGTAATATACTGATTTATATATTGTTTTTTTTAACACTTATGTAAAATTTGGATTAATACTGATTTACATTTGTACTACTAATTACATGTACGTTTATCATGAATGTTGGAAAGTAACATAAGCAGGTTAGTTCTTTCATAATGTAAATATTAAGATTTGTCCTAGCAGGTAAAGATAAATCTGTCTTACAGAACTAGAAAAGATTTTGCGATGATACAAGGGATGAAAATGAAGCTAAATCCTCAAAAATCTGTAAGTAACTATGTTGGAATATTTTTGTTATAATATAAACAGTCTGTCAACTGAAATCATTATCTTTTGATTCTGGAACTTTCTTTTGATATGCTAGAGATCTACATAGTCTTGTTTGTGATCCTTGGTTTTGGTGAACAAAGATATTGAAATATTTGACCCATATGTCTGAGTCTCATGTTGCCTGGAAATACAGCATTTTTGTTGATTATTTGACATATCGTGTGTGTGTGTGTGTGTGTGTGTGTGTGTGTGTGTGCGCGCGCGCGCGCACGCATTATAAATGTACGTTAACACTGTATTGCTGCAAAGGCTGCTTCATTCTGTGGAAAGTTGGGTTCTCAGTTTGAAGCAGCCTTTAATGCTCAGTGGAGGCTTGATCTGGCAGGTGGCAATTTTAACCATCATTGTTAACGTTGCAATTTACTCACTCATTTGTTCACTAATTTATGGCTCAATGAAATAGATCGTTATTTGACTGACAAAGTATACCCCATTTTAAAAACACTTAAGTATTGTTTTCAATCATAAGGTCATATGATTATATGATCTTACTCGTACGATCTTATAGACTAAGTGTTGTTATGGCCAGAATGCTTCCCACTGATTGGGGTGCCCTGGAAAGTGATGAGATTCCACATATTAGGACTCTTTCCCCTTTGGTTCAAGGGCACTACAAAATCGCTGGGCTTGTCTACACCATTCTTTTGTAGTTGCTATTGTTGATAATTTTTTATTTGATCATGGCTGCCAGAGCCATAGTCACAGGGAAGATTTAGGGAAACGGGCCTTGCAGATTTAGACATGATTTACCAGCTTCCCAGATATAAACGCTAAGAAATAGATTATTCCTATCAAACTCAGAGATTTATAGAGTAGCATGTCAATCTGTTAATTTATAGAAGAACTGTATCTAGCAAAGTAACTAGTGTTAGTCATCTGTACATCTTGGCTTGGTAGGTAGGCCCACTTAAGAAACTAGGTATTAGATCAGTAGATCAGAATTTAGTTTGGTGAATATAGAAACAAAATAAAAAATAACATGTGTCACCAAAAGCTATTTCAGTAAAAGCTAATATGTGTTGAAACTATCCTCCCTAGGTACTTTTCTATAGCTTATCAGTACAGGTTATTTAGCAGATATTTGTGAAGTACCCAATCTTCTCGTGAAGTCCCTGCTTTGGTGAATGGTACCACCATTCCCTGTGCTGCCCTGGCTGGAACCTGCGCTCACTCTAGACCAGTGGTTCTCCAAGTATGATCCCCGGACCAGAAGCAGTAGCATCACCTGGAAACTTGTTAGAAATACGAATTTTTGAGCCCCACTTCAGACCCACGGAATCAGAAACTCTGGTGTGAGCCCCCACAATCTGTGTTTCCACAGCCCTCCACGGATTCACACTCCCTTACCCCGTAATTGGGTATTAGGTCCTGCAGATTCTCCCCGTGCCTGTTGCTGTAGCCTTGGTTGGGATCATTGTTGACTTTTCACCCAGATTGTGTGTAATTGTGGTTGCCTAACTTGTTTTCTAGCCTTTTGTTCTTGCTCCCCTGAAAACCATCCTGGATTTGAATTGTTTAGCAATGTGCCTAGCCCAGTGTTAGGCATAGAGTTGGCACTCAACGCTTATTTGGACTGTGAATGAATGCATTACAACCAGGGGGATTTTTCTAAAAAGCAGATCTGATCTTGTCACTTTCTTGTTTAAAATTCTTCCATAGCTCCTGGTAATTCTCTAATTTCCCTTCCTATTGCTTTACTTCTTCCACTAAGCCCTCATGATCTGGCACCCACCAGCTTCTCTAGCCTTGTCTTTTGCTGCCCCTCCAAGCCCAGTTAGTGTTCTTTGCTCTCTCCTAATACCTATGGGATGCTCATGTCCTCTAATCACTTACTTTTGCTTTCTTTCCTTGCTTTGCTTTCTTTTACTCTTTGATTCTAACTGACATTTATGTGCCAGCCACATAAATATGGTAGGCAGCTTCCAGTCATTCACAAGGACCATACACAGGAATGCCTTCCCCCTTTCTCATCTGGATTAACTGCTCCTGTCCTAAAACTCAACTCGGGCATTGCTGCCTCCAAAACATTTGCTGACATTGTGATTTAAATACCCTTCTCATGGGCTGTGTTTTACATGGCACAACGTAGACATGACATACTGTCCTCTGATTGTCTAGTCACTTGTCTTTTCTGCTGCCTAGACCACCAGCTCCTTGATAATAGGGACCGTGTCTTATTGGTTTTTTTGTCATTAGAACCTGTACTGTGTCTGGCATCAGTGATGGTACATAATCATCTGCTAGAGGAAGTGTGTGCCAGGAACTGAACACCGAGGGGCTAGACTTTCAGGGACACATGCCTGCCCTTACAGTGCTCATGAGGAGAAAGAAAATAAGCCTACAAGTATCTTGTCACACATCCCATGGCAGAAGTATTATCATGGAATATGGGAAAGAACACCTTATTATTTGAGGAGATAATGCCTAAGCTGAAAACTTAAAGGATGATGGTAATGAGAAGAGCTGCCAGCATTGATCGAGCTCTTGCTCGATGCCAGGTGTTCTGCTTAGCAGTTTAAGTGCATTCAGCAATCCTGTTTGGGAGGTGCTGTTGATTCATTCAACAAATATTTACTGAGAGACTCCCATGTACCAGGCGCCACTCAGGGTGCCAGGATATAATGATGAACAGTGCGGACAAAGTTCCTGTCCTCACGCAATTTACACTCCGGTATGGATTGAAAACCCGAATCCAGGCCGTCTGGCTGCACTACCTGGTCTCTTCACCTGAACACCTGTGGGAAGGATGATTCATTCAGGTGTTTAGGCTTTCCCTTCTTTTAGTATTCTGTACCAGTGTTCAAAAACTATTATTACAATACATCTTTATGACATATTTTCTTTGCCAAGATTAGCATTAATTCTTCCTTAGTTACATTTTAAATTGTTGCTTTCATTTTTGAGATCTACCCTAAGCTTCTTGCTTACATTTAGAAGGAAGCTTAATCCTACCTTTAGCGCCCTAATCTTACCTGCAGTATGTTTCATGGATTAATACATTGGTTACATTTTGGGAAAAATTTTATCATGGCAAATTTAATCCATTAATGTTGACTTTGGTGAGTTTATATTTTAGAATGACGTTTGTTTACCTTTCCCCTAAATTCTGGGTTAGGTCTTACACCTCTCTACCCATTGATTACAGAGAAGTCAAAATAAGGAGCCAGCTTTTTCCTTTCCAAGCTATAAATTTTTAGGGATTTTTATGAAATTTTTCTGATTTACATCGACAATAGCTGATTTACATTCTATGAACTGGCTGATTTATAATAACTAGTTTATATTTCATAAGCCAGCAAAGTTACTGATAAGAATTATATAACAGTTAATAGCTTTCGTAATGATGAATTATTCCATTGTAGGAAGTAATGCCTTGGGATCCCCCCTACTACAGTGGTGTGATTCGTGCAGAGAGGTAAGTTTTTCAAGAAATACCCGTATGTGAGAAGGAAGAAGAAAACTAATGTTTATTGAGCACTTGGTACTTTAATTATGCAACTACTGCCATTCACCCAGGTGCCTACATTATAACCTGTTTCCTCCCAAAACTCATCCCCTCTGCTGGCATAGTCTGCACCTGCCCAGGTATTCTTCAAATGCATGTATCATTTCCTGTTTAACACTCGTAACTATCTCCTCACGGTGTCTAGACTCTGGCTCCTCTCCAGCCCTCTGCATGTATAGCTTTCTGGTTCTCTTACTAGACCGTGAGCATTTGGGGGCTGCAGCGTTGCTAGAATCCTTGTTGTATCCCGTTACTGGCTTTAAGTGCTATTTTTGTCATTTAACTGTATTCTGTAAGCATAGCATGCCCAAATGGTGGTTCTATGAAAATTTACATATGAATATTTGAAGATTTGGAAACATCTAATGAACAGAAATTTAAAGCATATGCATTCATTAGGGATATGAGATCCCTTAGAAATTTGATATGATCGTAAACAGAAGCTATTGAATAAAGGCTACTGACTCCCTTTCCCTCATGTCTACTAAAAATATAATATCGGAAAGTCTTTCTGTTGCTGACTGACTTTGGAGTCAGTACTTAGAGATCCTTAGCTCCCCAAGTAGGTTGGTAGTTTTTACTCCTCCACTAACCACAGAGACAAGGGTCTCCTGGTCCAAGTCCACTGCTGGAAAGGATGGAAACACCTGAGGCAGCAGGGCAGTGTGGCCGGGGCAAGTCCCGCCTCCATCACTTACTGAACTACACAATCTTTGGGAAGTTACTTACCCTCTGTAAGCCTCTTACTAATATTATCTATAAAGTGGGAGTTATAATAGTCCCTGCGTCATAGATCAGGGTTAAGTGAGAAAATGTATTAATAGTAACATAACATTATTTGATGGAATTGGCCATTAGTGGACATCCGTCTAGGATATGGTCCACTCTAAGAGATGCTTTCTAGGTGCTCTCTAAAATCTTTTGAGGGAGGGGTCAGTTATCCTTTAAAAACACTCATCTGAAATGTATGAATGTATCAAATGTATAATGCTCCTCTGAGAAGTCTGTGATGATAGGTGAAGAATCCTGAAACAGGGAAGTCCGTCTTGCTGGACTCCCCAGCATCTCTGCGTCCAGGGTGGAGGAACCCTGCATCTGTCTGGCAGGGGAGCTCGCCGCTGTTGTTCGCTTGCTTCTTCAAGGTCAAGGGGTCACTACTGCCTTTAAAATAAAATTGGAGCTATCATTCAAGACCTTGTGGGGTCTGATTACCACCCATTTTTTTTTTTTTATGAGAAACAAACATATGCATACCCACGTTTGTTCTGACTTTTCTCCCATTGCTGCTCTTCCTCCACAGTTCGCCTCCGCCACACCCCTTTCTGTCTCAGAGACAGAACCTGCGCCTGGCGAGCAGTTGGGTTCCATTGTCTCCCTTGTCTGTCTTACACACTGTGACATTTTGCCAAGGGTCCACGAAGCCTCCAGGTCTGTGCTAGCCTCGTGCAGCTCCTGGCCCCACCATACTCACAGCCTGTGTGCTACATGGTTGACCTGCTAATTATGTGTTCTTGTGGACATGCTACTGTCTCGTATGTTGAATGTGTCTTGTCAACCATATTTTAAAGCTCTGTAGAACACACACTCTGGGCACTCAGTAAATACATATTGGCTGATAGCCATTATTCAAGCCTGTATCTAAACCAGTAATTGGAAATCACTATTAAAAGGAATCCAGTGATAAGTTCTTTTGGAAAGAGACTGTCATATTTTTTCGCATGACATTTTTCATCCAGCAGATTTGTTGAAAGTAGTGTGACCCTCTGGAGGTCTTCACAGTGCTCACTTGTTGACAGCCTTCTACCTGCTCAATGATTCTTTGAAATCACCAGCTATACTGGGAACACAGTGTAACCTGCCTGATAGTCACATGGGGCTTTAGCTTATTTTAATCAAAGTTTCAATACTAATTTACTTACTTGACTATTAACTCAGTAAAGAACTAGGAAGAGGGGTACAGAAATACCTCAGAAGGGATTATAAGACTTGGGGGTTTTAAACATCTCCTTTAAGTAGCTTAACAGGCAAATAATCAAGTTTTGGTTTGAGGTTTCAATAATCTTGATTGGCAAGAGTGGGCTGAGAAGCACAGGTGATGGATAAGAAAAGAAAGGGAAAATATCATAGTTTGGATTTAAGGATAGAAGAGTGGAACCAAAGTGAAGATTTCTAAATCATTCTTAAATTCATCACCTTTCAAGTAAAGACTTAAATGTGTGCTTTGACACAAAATGAAAAGTAAAAGGGGCTTTCCTTGATTTGAGCTTTTCTCAAAGTTAACCCCAGGGACTTTTTTTTTGCTTTCATGTTAAATGCTTCAGATTTATTTCAAGTTTCTTAAATGTCTGCCTAAAGAAAAGAAAGAACTTGTTTAGAAGTAGGAGAAAAAATTAACATGTTTTAAAAGTGCCAGAGGTTGATCTGGAAAGATACTGTAGTGGGATAAAGTATTTATTGATCTCATCCCTACCTCTGCCCCCAGAGGTCACCATTTTAAAGTTTTTTTAATGCATCCTTCTAGTGTTTGGATTTTGTCTAGGTCTCTTACTCTAGAGCAGTTCCCCACACCTTGTGCCCTTCCTGCCCCCTTTTTTCATATTATCAACAATTATTAAAGAGACCAGGCCATTTGTCCACAGAATTTCCAGCCTTCTGGATTTATCTTGTTGCTTCCTTGTGGTGTCATCTCACTGGTTCTTCTCTTCCTATCTTTCCTGTAAGCTGGATGTTAAGGCTAACGCCTTGATGTTGAACATTTCCCATTTTTGTCATGGACGCCATAGCTGATAGTGTATACTTTGTGTCACATCAGAAGACATGAAGTATCACTTGCCCCACCATGGGTGGTACGAACATAGACCCCTGATGGACAGACGGATGCCAACATGATCTCTGCAGTCTGTGGTTAGGGTTTACTCTCTCAACTAGAAAGTGATTCATGTGGTGTTATTGGCAACATGAAAACATCTAGTTTCCCATTAGTCATTCACCTAATGGCGTAAACACCCGTTGATAGTTCTTGTATCAATAAATAATAATTCTTTCTTTTTCATTACTAATTTTCAAAATGAGGATTTATTTTAATAGTTTTTTGAAGTGAACGGGTGACAAATGAGTATTTTTTGGCTTTCTTTTTTTAAAGTTTATAAACTGATGGAATTCCATTGATTTAATATGTTTCAATCTGAAACCGTCATTTTTGGGTGGATGCCAAATTTGTCATAAGTTGGCCAATTGCACTGAAAACTTTCAATGCCTTGATTTTTAACTCGGTCTTTTAGGAGCTTGTTCAGTGAAACTCACAATGCCTGTGTTTATTAGTCCCAGTTGATTTTGAGAACCAGTTGCAGCAGAAGGGGGTGGCGATTTCTGTAGTTTTGAGTCAGGAGTTTCCGTGACCCAGGGAGTGGTCTGAGAATGGGTCTGTTACTGGGCTCAACAATTCGAAGAGGGTTGGAAAAGCTCCTGGCCACTTGTTCCCTCTCACCAGGTTTTCCTTCCTCCCTGTCCCAGGACACACCTGAACACTGGCTCACAACATTTCAACATCTCCCATGCTGTTCTCCCGAAAGCGAGCTGCAGCACATTCGCATTATTTTTGGTTATTCTGTCACTATTCTATATCAGCTGTGGCTATCTGATTTCACTTATTGATATATTAATATTTAATAAATTAATTCCTCATAAAGAGTTGCAGCCTGTGGGTGGCCATTCCAGGCAGGCTGGAAAGCAGAGCCCTGGATAGAAGCCAGAAACACGTGCTTCCTTACTGATAGGATTTAAGAAACTGAAGTAGAGACTGTTGCAAATATAGGTCTCAGTGCTGTAATAAGATTTGGCTCTAGCCTCCATGGTGAGATTTCTACCACCTAGTGCCACACTAGTGTGATACTATCAACTTCTTTCCCTGAAGTCAGGCCTACTGGTCCACTTTCCTGCTTCTCTAGGATGATGATGGAATTGCACTCTCTTTGTTTAATTTTGACTTATTTTAACCACAATTTCCAGTGGCCTGTAGGGCTAATCTGCACCATTAAAATTATTCTCTGATTACCAGGAAGTTTGGCTGGAGCAGTTTTCTTACCTCTAACTTCAGAATTCAAAATAGGACCAAATTGGCAGTGGTTGGTTCTTTATAAAATGGAGGGGGAGAAAGGTCTTTATTTGCAGTACTATATAATTACTTGAAAGACAAACAGGTTTTCAGTATCATCCAATTCTTTTATTGCTACCTTACCTTTGTTTAAGCAGATAAAACAGTAGCTCTCCCTGTGGCTTTCAAGACTAAACATTTCAAAATGTCATCCAACTGTAACATTCGAATCACTTAGACAGTCATTCCTGATGCCAAAAACATTCTGTTTCATTTTCTTTTGATAAAGTTAAAAATAGTTGCTCTGACAGTGTTGCCACATACTCTGCTCTTTTCAAGTGTGCACTTTCCCTAGCCCACACATGTCCTCTGGCAGGCCCTCCCTTATTCTGTGATGAGCCTCTGTGAGCATTTGCCGTTTGGTGCGTATGTTCTCTCTCACACTTGCTTTCACTTACTGAATAGAACAAAGTAAGACTGAAGCCTGTGTTTACCTGCAGTTTCAAGCTGGATTCATTGACTGCACTTAATTGTGTTTTATATTTTCATGAAGTTTGATGCCAAGAGTTTTAGAAATAATACCCAAGTTCTTTCTTTACCTTAATTCCAGGTGCATCGGAGGTTGAAATACACGTCTGACTCATAGATTGTGCTTCATAAATACAGTGATACATTGATTTTTCAAAAACTCAAATTACAATGATGAATTCTTCAGTTGAACATCTCTCTGTGCTTATTCCAATGATAATTAGTGTTCCCAATAAGGATTTTCATATATTGTTAAATTCTCTTGTTCTTAATAAAAAAGACATAATTATATTTATGCTGTTTTACCATGTTGATAATGATATGTTCTGGTTCTTTCAAAACTGAAAGTTTGTAAACCCCCTATGTAGCACATTTTTAACCAGAATAGCAGAGCATTTCATTCAGTGACTGTGGAGGATAACAGTTTCCTTCCTCTTTCTCTCTTCAGAGGAATCAAAGGAATCTAAAGATACCTTGTTTCTGGATACAAAAAAATAATAGTAAAACTCTAAAATCAGAGTCTGGAGTGGTGTGGCACTGAAACCCAATCCTCAGAATACACTGAAATTTGACTCTCTGTTAGGCTGTGGCTCTGATGTGCTGTGAGGTTATATGTGTCACCTGCAGTACTTTTCCACTCTTGGGTCTTTGGGTGATAGAAGAAAAGGATCTTATATGTAGCATCTATACAGATAAGGAAGTTGTGGACGCAGATGCTGCGCCCAGGTGTTTGCAGGCACATCCTGACCTTGTAATGCTCTGCAGAGCCTGGCGTGGACGGCCACTGGTGTAGCATCCTGGGCGTTTCTGAGTGATAGTGAGGCCTGCGAGCCCTGACTCTCCCTCTGTGTGTGTCCCTTCACCCTGTGTGGAAGATGGGAGCTGAGGGCATAGTGAGCAGGGGGCCTCTTGACTGGCAGGTCATCCAGGACTATTCCTCGGGGCCCCTCAGACCTGGTTTGGTTGAAGCTGCTGGCGATACCTTCTGGCTTTTTGAATCTCTTCCACCCTCTCTGGACCTTCTCCCGTTCTGGCTCTTCTTCAGGAGGGGATTCGCCTTCATTTGGTCAGAGGCACTGAGGGCGCGGAGGACGTGGAGGTGTACGCAACCTCTTTCTCGACGGCTGAGGGGGCTTGGGTAACATCTAAGGCCATCTTTGCTTGAATGAGCTTGTCTGCCCTATTGGCTGGAATTCCCTCAAGCCTTTGCTGGCGCTCTTTCTTCCGCCCCGAGTGCCCTTCCCCTCCACCAGTACCCTCATCTTTCCTGGTGCCCCTCAGATGCCGCCTCTTCTTCGTAATTCTCTTCGATCCTTGCGTTCCCATCCTCTCCCATCTGGCAGGCAGCCTCACCTTGGTGCCAAAGGCCTGCGGACGCTTCTCTTAGTCCCTCTGTCCCTTGGATTGGTCATCCTGTGTTCGCTGCTCTGATTCAGTGGCTCTGCCACCCACCCGTTGCCCAAGCCAGAAACCTGAGAGCTGTCCTAGACTGTCCCATCTTTCTCGTGCGCCCTCCAAGTCCAGCCCCTCACACAGTCCCAAGACCTTTACATCTCAAAGAAAAACAAATCGATGTGCCTTCTCCCCACCCCCACTGCCCTCGTCCACACCCTCTTCAGTTCGTCCTCTGCAGCCCTGAGGTTTACCCGCTGTCACTGTCCCTGCCTCCCCTGCATTCCACCTCCACACTGTCCGCTGTGCAGCGTTCCAGAGAGTGTCAGTTGCTGCTCTGTGGGCTACAGACCCGTCTCCCACATGGCATCTGTAAGCAACTCATTGAGTGTGTAGACATAACATATTAGTAATTCTGTCTCATTTTTCTTAACTTACAAAATTTCTCTCTTTTGTTTTGCAGTGTAGCAGAACAACAGCACATACATACACTTTCTAAATGTACTTATAGTAAGGCTGAGTACTCAAAAATTATTTTAGTGATGAGGTGTACGGTCAGAAAGTTTAGGGACCCTGGACCCAACTACAGTATCTCATCCCGATTCCTCAGCTGGGTGTACCAGGCCCTCTGCTCTCTGACCCCTGCCTACTTGTTCCAGACTCTTCTCCCGTTCTTTTTTCTGCATCATGAACTGTGTCATATTTAACCACATCGTTTCTAGAAGTTAAAAGGCTATTTTATGCCATCATGCTTTCGCTACACCGTTGGTTCTGCCCAAAATTCCTTACTACTGTTCCCTCCCGCTGTCCCCCATCCCTACGTGCCCCGCCAACTCAGATTCTTCCTTACTTCCTGCCTGTGAAGCCCCCCCCAGTCATCACGTCCTCCTTCGCTCTCCCACCGTGCACGCTTACTCATGCATTCGTTCAGCACCGTATGTTGAGCGCCGACAGTGTGCCCACTGCTCCAGCTCGGGCCACACAGCGCAGTCTGGTCCCTTCTCCGTCTCCTTCACCGTGAGCTCCTTAGAGACAAAACACTCTTCATCCCTTTCCTCCCACACCCAGCAGGTTTGTGGACAACACGTCTGAATGGATGACCCAGCACGTGAGGGCACTGGACCACTAACGTCTCTTTCAACACTAGGATTCTGTTTCAGTGAAAACCGGGCAGAAATTAATTTGTAAATTTGTGGATTTCTACAGCCGGAATCTCATTTGTTGCTCAATTTGTGTTCATTCACTGAATCTAATCATTTAGTAATGCTTATAAGTTTGTGTATCTTTATATATACATATAAATTTGTATATATTTTGTGACTCCCAGAAAAGGGCAATACAGTGAGCCCCTACAGTTATTCTAGAGCCATTATTTTTGTCTGTGGTTATAAATTTTGGCCTGACTTAATGACTCAAAAATGAACATTCTGATCACATGTTTTGGATTTGCTTTGGTTTATGTTGGAATATATAGGACATGAAAAAAGTTACTTCGGTGTGAAGAATAATTAACTTTACCAGTTACGTTGTCCTTAATTTAAGATATATAACTATAAAACAGATAACTTAAGATCTGATTGTTTACATTCCAGACAGTTTTTTCATAAACGAATTTTTTACCGGATTAGAACTTTAAATTCACTTAGCATGCATCAGGATTTTTATTTGTTTATTTTATTTATTTTTGTGCTGTAAGTCACAACTTTTTAGACTATTACCCATCTCATAAGGTAAGGTTTACCATTCTAGCTGGCACCGGTCACACTTTGCATACAAGTGTGTATAAAGCAGTGTGTGTGTGTGGGTAACCGAGACAGGCTGCGTGACTGATCGGTGAAGGAGTAAAAGACCCGAATGGGACAAAGACGAGGGAACGCTATGCCTGCCTTAATTACGGCCTTAGGCTCACACTGGTAATGATTCGATGTCATTCTTCTGAACACACTGAGTCTCAAATCCCTCAAATGAGAGAAATATACCTTTGTGTTTGAATCCTTCTTTCTTTAGCTACTACGATCCTAAATATTAAATGAAAAGTTAACGGAATTTACCTTTAGAAGCTGAAATACACAAAACTGCTGTTGAACCTCTCTTCCTTCTCTTAGGTATAATATTGAGCCCAGTTTATACAGCCCGTTCTTCTCCCTGGGAGCATGCATGGAGGGCCTGAATATCTTGTTTAACAGACTGCTGGGGGTTTCCTTATATGCAGAGCAGCCCGCCAAAGGAGAGGTGTGGTGCGAAGACGTCCGAAAACTGGTGAGCCGCCCGCCTGCCTGAGGCAGTGTGCTCTATCCTTTCCATTTGGAGTTGCGTCTGCAGCAGTTCCAGCTCTAAGTTAGCTTCGCCCTGGTTGAGTGTGTCCTGTCTAATTTCTGTTTCACAAAAAAAATCTAAATTGCCACTTTTGATTTAGGGCACTATGTGAAGGATCTAAACATATGAATGGGGGAGTTAGTTCTCTAAAGCAAAATTTTTTAGGAAGCTGATAGAAGGTTGAATCTTTTACTTCTTTGATAGTAACTTCGAGCCTCACGTTCATCCTTCTTCCATTAGGGCCCACTTTATTTGAGGCATGCATATTTTAAATTTTCCTGTGTAAGATTAGAGGCTTCCTGGAGCCATGTGTTTATCACCAAGGCTTTATTTATTGTGTTGTTTCATTTTTGCTGACATCCTTACCACACTCTGATTTTTCCACTATATTTCAAGGAATGTAAACTATCTGATTGCCTCTTGGCCATGTTTTGTGAGCACAGAGTAGGTGTGTGGTGGGATTGAGAGGAGAGTTGGGGGGAGGGCATTTTATCACTGCTTTTACTTATCTCAGTGTCTATTTGAATATTATGAACTTCCACAAAATGACAGAGATTGATAACATGCGGAGATACGATAGAAAGGAAAACTGGTAAGAGGACACGGAAAGGACAAAATGCAGGTGATGAAGAGGTTTTACCCGATCTACAGAACGTGAGCTTCATCAGGGCAGCAGCGCTGTTTGCCAGTTGTGCTCACTGCTGTATCCCAAATGCCTTGAGCACTTCCTGGCACTGAGTAGGTGCTTAATAGGCGTTTATTGAACGAATGAATATATACTTGCAGGAAATTTTAAAGCACAGATTGGGGTTCTCTGGGATATAGTCATCAAGTTCTTTAAAAGACAAAGAAGGCAAGATGGAAACTAGTGGTTGAGTCTCTCTAAGCTGTGTCTCTTTCATAGGCCTGTTTTGGAGAGGGGAATAAATAATGATATTACTGATTTTCAACTGAAGCTGGGAGCTGCATTTGAAAACAACAAGTTTTCAAATTTAAGGGTTAAAATTTACATGGGCATATGTCATGGCATTCTAAGATTTGAAGGAAAAATAATTTTGCTGCTAAAATTGTCTAGCCAGCACTTCTTCCTAACTCTTGTGGGTGGTTGGTTGAGCTATTATAGAGGATTGGCAGTCGGGACAAAGGGCCCTCATGAGGAGGACTTCCTCTCCTGGACACACAGTTCCCAAATCAAAGTCGTTCGAGAGGTGGAGCAGAAGAGGATGGGGTTGGGGAGTAAGAGACTCTATCTCGAGATACTGTGGGATGCAGAAAGTAGTTAAAATATCTGTATGTGTGGCCGTGATGTTTAATATACAGATTCTTACATGAGGGACGCTTTTTCACTTTTAGAGTGTCTAGTGGCCTCATTTACCACGAAATTTAAAATTTTTTTCTAGGCTGTCGTTCATGAATCTGAAGGATTGTTGGGGTACATTTACTGTGATTTTCTTCAACGAGCAGACAAACCACATCAGGTGATCCTTTATTTATACACTGGTTTCTAGACGTGACCAGCAGTTCATTTGTATTAATGTGAACTTTATATCATTCTTACAGTTCTATAATATTTGAAAGTTATTAATAGTTACTAAATGTATAAATTTGAAATTAAGATAGAATTTTAAAAAGGTTATAGAAATAATTATCGCAATCTGTGTTTTTCACTTTTATCTGGGTCATGGTGTTAGTGATGGTAATAATGATAGCTGACGTATTATATGAACCCTCATTGGTGCCAACCAGTGTACCGGGTCCCTCATACACATCAGTCTTTTAATATTCATCTCAACCTTTTGACCAGGTTCTAACGTTCTGAGGAAACTGAGGCCAGAGAAGAGGTTAAGTTACTTGCCCAGAGCCACACAGCTAGAAGTGCTAGGATTTGAAGGCAAACATTCCGAGTAGAGCCCCAGCTCTTAACTCCTTTCCATACTTGACAATGAACCTAGGTTAAAATTGCAGATGGTATGTCCATACGGAAACCTTACCAGCCACCAGTTAGCTGCTTATGTGGAAGACGCGAGGCTCCTTCCTTTCCTTTAGCTGCATGTCAGGTTTGCCGGCCAGGCAGCTTCAGCAGTTTTCTGCAGCTTGGTGGGAAATATCAAGAGTTCAGGTTATAAGTTATAACAGCAATAATGGTACCTTATATTTGAATAGTGATTCACAAATTCTAAAGCATTTTAACAGGTGTGAGCTTACAAAATCTGGACAGCCACTATGGGATTTGACAAGGTAGCAATCTAGAGATGAGGCTTGTAGAGGCAAATCATTTTCCGGGATGATTTGGCTGGTAGGTGTTGAAAGTGGGACCAGAGTTCAGGTCATCAGACTCTGAGTCTGTGTTCTTCCTCTTTGCCGGAACGAGTGGCAGAGACTCCGCTTTAGTGATTAGTCAGCTTGGGCTCAGGTGCAAGATGCAGCAATTCTAGCTCAGTGTCCTTGGGCATGTTACTTAATGTTTCTAAGACTCGGTTGCAGTTTTCTGCTCTGAAGAGTGAGGTCCATCTGCCTTACAGGGTTGTTATGAAGAATAAGTGATTCAATGCATGTGAATTTCAGTGTAGTGCCTGTTCCAGAGTAAGTTACTCCAGATTCTTTGTTTATGACAGTTTAGAGCCATCACTTCCAAGTGATAAAGACAAGGGACATGGAAAGTACCTCTTTGTTCATTATCTGACATATAGTTGGGACTCAAAAACTCGTGTCCCTTTGCTCAGTAGCTGATGTCTGTCCCCTCCCCTTACTTGTGAACGTCTTGAGGGCATGGATCTTTGATGACTTTGTTAAGCATCTGACACATCAGTTCAGTGTATGCTTTTGGGATGAATTAATGAGTTAATCAATATAAGATCAGTGTATTGTTATTTTAAAAAATTAAAATTTTCAGAATAATTAGTATCAAGAAAAAGTATCTAAAACTAAGTACAATAAGAATAGGATTAAGTTAAAGTTTGAATCCACACATTTTGGTATAATTTTGTATCCATTATGTTATAATTTTATATTCATTAAGACTGTTTTACTCTTTATGTTTTCTCATTCTCAAAGGATTGCCATTTTACAATCCGGGGAGGCAGATTAAAGGAGGACGGAGACTACCAGCTCCCAGTCGTGGTTCTGATGCTCAATCTCCCCCACCCCTCCAGGGGCTCGCCGACTCTGTTAACTCCTGGAATGATGGAGAATCTTTTCCATGAAATGGGACACGCTATGCATTCTATGCTGGGACGTACTCGTTACCAACACATCACTGGTGAGCCACGAAGAGGGCTTTTATTTGATACAATCCTTTCAAAGCATATATTTTCTTTTAAATTGGGAAAAGGGCTTTTTATTTGGAAAATGTGATCATTTAATAATGTCCCGTGGTCCTTTATCTCAGATTGCCTCCTCTTGTCCTTCTCATTGTTATGCAACATGATCCTCTTATGCTTTTTTCTGTCCCGTTAACAGCTTTCACCAAGGAGTAGGTCTCAGTTGTCTGTTTTTGGAGTTTGCACCTTTTTACATTTTATAGTGTTTTGTATGGAATTTAAGTCTGTGGCTTTATGTGTGTATGTGAGTGCATAAATATGTATTTAATATTTTCTCAGTACCTCGCATAAAGTTAGTAAGGGAATAAATGAAATAGATGTTGCCTCTGTTTATCCAAAATCAGTTAAAACACAAAGCATATTTTAAAAGTATGATGAAACTTTTTATTTTTCTTATACTTTACCTTATATAAAATTATAGTTCTGCTTTGTAGATTTTTATGCTGATATATGGCCATGTTTGATGATATTACAGACTTTCCTTTTAGTTGTCTTATCTCTATCTAGGTCTTAAGCCCACTATCCTATATGGCCTGGGAAATTTTTGGCATCTAGTATTTATTAACTAAGTTGACACACACAGGATTTTGGACAAGGAGAAGATATTTGAAAAGACTGTAGGTGGGCTGAATGGAATCATAAAATGCTACCAAAAGTTCTTACAGGATTTGTTGCTTTAAGTAATTTTGAGTTTAAAATATTGCTTTGCTTCACTGAGGATTGACTTTGTTACAAAAAGCAATAAATGAATGCATAAAGTACTTTTAAAACAAAGGAAATATGAAAGCATTAGGTAATGGAATTCAGTAAATTAAATACAAATGCTATATTAATTTAAAAAATGTTTTAATTGGTGTTTCATGTATAGCTAGCATAGATGAAGACAGGTTTGTTTGTAGAGGGTGTGAGCCATTGCTTTATAAGGTGTTTTAGCAGCTGTGCAAATATTTTGTTTTACTTTTGTTATAAAGGAAAATATATAGGATTATAATAAACTTTTCTGCAAATATGTACAATAATTTTATAGAAGTGAAATATTGATTTAATGAATTAAAGCTTATCATAGTTCATCAGAATTCCAAATAAAAGTTTTAAAAGAGTACATAAAAAGTAAGATAAATATGTTGATTTGATTCATGCCAACTTTTTTCTTCTTTTTTTCCCTCATTTTAGGGACCAGGTGCCCCACTGATTTTGCAGAGGTTCCTTCTATTCTGATGGAGTACTTTGCAAATGATTATCGAGTAGTTAACCAATTTGCCAGACATTATCAGACTGGGCAGGTAGGAACACTGATATTGTCATATTGTCCTTTGAATTGTGATAGTTGGCTTTTGTGACTTGCTGGATAATGTTGAACTCTTCCTGCTTTTTCAGAACTCTCTTTTTTTTTTTTTTTTTTTTAAGAGATAGGGTCTTGCTCCATTGCCCAGGCTGGTCTGAAATTCCTGGTCTCAAGTGATCCTCCTGCCTTGGCCTCCCAAAGTACATTTTTCTTTTATCATGTTTTTTCATGATTCCTTGTCTTTTCTTTTTCCAGACTGTAGTATCTTAGTCCTAGCATATATACTCATGTACTAAAAAATAGCTACCCTTTATTATATGCCCAGTAATCTACCATTTAGTCCTCATAACCATCCCATGAGGAAAAGCACTTTGTCCCTATTTTCTAGATGAAGAAACAGGCTCTATAGTAGAACAGGCATGCAGGTCCATCTCATTTCAGAAAAGCCTTTTCTTCTGAATACTTAGTCTTTTAGCCTGAATTTTTATGTTGTTTCATAAAATTGAACTACAACACCATATTTTGCCAGTATACTTCACATATATATGATGGTTAGACTGAAAATTCCTTAATTTTGAGGTTTATATTTCTTTTTCTTTTTTCAAATGCTGTTCTTCACTTTTTGTTGTAATTTTTCTGGTAGAATTATGATATAATAAATTGTTCTAGAAAAGGTCTCACTTCTATGGTTAAGAGCTTTGGGTTCTTATGTTAGACTGAGTTGGTGCTTCCTTTTCAACTTTGGATGGTTTCCCCATTTCTGTAGTATCAATTATAAAAACAACTACCTTATATTATAGGTTGTTGTATGAATAAGTTATAATATTTTGGGGGAAACACTTTTCCATTATCTAATAATACTTTTGTTCTTCCTACTGTTTTCCTATTTTTTCTTTTCTTTTTTTGGCTATACCAGTAGGTATCAGATGCTATCTTAGTTTCTACATGAAAATTTTTCACTAATAGAGTAAAAGCTGAGTGGTGTGAAGAGACAGAATTCGATTTATTATTAACCAGTAGTTCTTAATTATTTATCATATACTAAAAACCATACTGGACACCAAATGAAAGAGTAACATCGGTCTTGTCAAATAAAACCAAAATCTGGACTTAGCATGGAAAGACTACTTGAAAAGATTGTTGCAATAAGGGGAGTCTGGACTATTATAATGAAAGTAGGGAGACCATTGCAACAGGGAGAACTCTGTCCAGGGTTTAGATTAGTGCATTGTAATTGTACCAGTTTTTAAATTAAAATACGAGGTATCTTACAATAAGTTAGCTGTAAGTTACCAACATCGTGGCATTTACCGTCTACATGTACATTGCAAAGTATATTCTCTCCCTTCTCCTGCACCTGTGGCTGTGTGATGCTGTGTTACATGCAGTGGGGTTTCCCCCTCAGAGGGCACCTCCCTGGCACTACTTTAAATTGTACTAATCTTTGAATCCCTAAGCACCTAGAAGCTTGCTTAGCACAAAAAAAAGCACTAAAAAATTAAATGAAGGAGTGAATAGAACTAAAAAAAGAAGGACCAAAACCACCTTTATTTTTGACTCTTTTTCTGATTATGTCTCCATATGTGTAATATGATTGGGTCATTTCTTTTTTTTTTAGACTTGATTTGATCTAACTACTATTGTCAGCTGTAAAGGATGAGTTTCTGGATAACTAATCTAAGTGAGTCTTCATCATAATCTATTTCAGTTATTAAGATGGCAGAACTGAAACATCTGTGATCCAATCAACTACCCATCCATAATCAAAGAATTGAACTGGGAATTAGGTGGGGTTGGCCAGTGACATGGAAGCTCATACCCCATCAGATAATAGCATGACCCATCCATGGCTACGTATTTTGGGGATTGGGACTGATTAGGAATTCAGCGATTGCTCCCTGGGGGGGCCCTCGACTCTACTCAGGCCTTCAGAGAGGAAGTGCAGGAGGAAGGAGGTCTCAGGCAAGGATGTAGAAGGGGCGTTCACCAGGCAGCTCTCAGCAGCCCTTACCTGTTCCACTAAAAAGTGTTTAATGAGGACATACTAGGGACAGAAGTCCTTCAGCCAGAAAACACTTACTGAGTTTTTATTATGTACCAGTTACTTTTCTCAGCATCCGAGAAACAACTGAGAATAAGTCAGACAACATCTGTAGCACCCACGGCCTTTAATCCAAAGGGAAACTGAGGCAGAGCCAAAGACTAAGGCATTCTGACCAGAAGGAAAAACCTGTGAAAGGCACGGAGCAGTCCTCTAGGTGGCAGTGGGTGCAGCTAGGGCAGGGCGGGCAGGGAAGGCAGGAAAAGACAGTGGAATATAGGTTGGGGCAGGTGGTGGAGGGCTGCAGAGCACAAGCAGGAGTTTGGACTGAATCCTGATGTAGATGGAGTCATTAAAGATTTTTAGGTGAGGAAGTGACGTAATCAAATTTTAGTTTTGGGAAAATAACCCTGGTGTCAGAGGGGAGGAAGGATTGGCGTGGGGTGAGAGTAGAATCTGAGAGAAGCGGTACTCATGCCAGTAAGCTGCCGAGGCTTCCTGCAGAGAGGGCAGTAGCACCAGCCTCTCCTGTCGGAGGGCATTTTGCGCCAGCTGCCCAGGAAGTGCCCTGGCCTTGTGCCTGGCTCATCTGGCCCCTGCCGTGCCTGCCCCTCTTGTCTCTAGAGGTTGTTCCCAGCCTCTGCACTCCTGTCGCCCCGCACACCCTTTAGTCCCAGCTCCTCTCCCAGCACCACCTCCTGTTGCTGGAGTGATTTTTCGTGGCATTGTTTGCACCAGGCTTTGCTGTCACTTAATCTTGGGAGTCTTGTCGGCTCCTCTTGGCCACTGGCTCTCGCCCGACTCTGCCTCACCCGTTTTCTCATCAGCCCTTGGTAATCAGCTTCCCTGGGTTCCGCCTTTGGCTGTGCGGCCATGCGGCGGTGCTCAGCCCCTGGCGGGGCCCAGGTGAAGGCTGCAGATGTGTCCTCAGCCCGTGGCGTGGCAGGAGGGGCAGGATGCCAGAGCCGCAAGAGACTGACCTGGGAGGACTCGCAGCCAGTTAGATGTCAGGGGCGAAGGTGAGGACAAGTCAAAGCTGGGGGTTCCACGATCAGAGAATTCTGCTAGGGGTCAGGTTTGAGAGGGAGGAGGCAGAGTTCTTGTTCTGGGTGTACCGATGAGCATCGGCGTTGTCCTGGAGGCCGCTGGTCTGCAAGTCTGAAATTTTGGGGTCAGACACTGCAGATATGCGGGGATAAATGGCAAAGAGATGGTGGTTGAGAGGTAGGGAGATGAGAAATTGCCTGTGAGAGAAAAGTAAGAAGTGTCGGAAGAAACCAGCATCATTGGGGAGGGAGTGGTCTGAGGAGCTTATGAACACAAGGTACGAACGAGGAGGACACACGCAGGTGAGGATGACTGCAAAAGAGGACCACGAGCTTTTCAGAGTCATACTTTTGTTTTTTACAGTCAAATCTTAGGCTGAAATTCACCACAAACACTAACGTCAATTTTTTAAAAATTACCATCTGCTTATAGAACAAATAGAATAGCAAAAAAGGACTAGAGCTGCTGCTTGGTGGGTAATGTAATGTTCAAAAACAGTGGAGAGCTTCCCAACGCCTGTGTTCTTACTAAATTCTTCAGTAAGAAGAACCATTTTTGAACCAGATGCAAGAAAACCAGAGTAAGCCCCCAATATGCTCCAAGGTAGATGAGATAGGAAGAAAACAGTAAGCTGCTTTGAATTAATTCAAGTTTCAGACTCAGAAGACTTGTCCACTGCCCTTGGGGACTTGCAGACACAGTCTCTGAAGAATTTAAAATAATTTTGTGATTCCATGAAGGATGGAAAGCATGCCCGAAGGCAAGAGACGTGTAAATGCTTTCAGCTTCGCAAGGGCTTGCCTCTTCTTGTCACTAATTAAAACACTAAGTGGCTTGTTTTTTTGTTTTTGCTTTTTAATTTTAAGGGCAGTCCTCCCCTTAAGGATAAGGAGTTAATTCCCTAAAACCCAAGTCTTTGTAAGTAAATGATATTTAAGCCCATAAGGAAAAATAACAGGGTTACATCTTTATGCTTAATTTCCTATCCTGCTGCATTTCAGGAAAGGATTTCTGTTTTAAACGTCATGAGATGTATCCCAGAGAGCTCTTAGATACAGGGTAATCTTTCAGTGATTTATTAACATCTGCAGGCATTTTATCTGAACTAGAGCATAGCGTGGCTGATGAATTCCACGTGGTGGAGGAATTAGAAGTATGCTTATCAGATTTGCAGGTGCCCCGCAGCTATCAGAGATAACATGCCAGAGGTACCCATCTGAGATCAAAACTGTCTTGACAAGCTGCAACATCAAAGCTGAAGCAGAATTTATTGTAAATTAATCTTAAAATCAATAGCACGAGTATAGGAGGAGTACAGACTAGCCTTGGTAGCAGTTTGGGTTTTGAGACACAGTAAACTTAACAAGGATCAACAGTTTCATGGAGTTTCCCCGCAAATCTCGTGCAGTCTTAGTGGAGCTGCGGCGTCTGAGCACCTAAAGGTTATTGCCTCTCTGCTCAGCGCTTACTGGCTCCAGCCTTCAGCCTTACCTCTTCCCAGTTGCTCCAAGTTAGCCCAGAATTATCTATGGGCGGCCTCACGGTTCTGGAAGCATGATCCTGGTCCTTTCCAAACCTTTCTAAAGAGTACCTTTTTTTGTTGTTGTTGTTGTTATATTTTGATCATTCTGAAACTGGGATCCCTTGTTAGCTACGTATTTATATCTGATGGCTCTATTAGTCCGTTTTCTGTTGCTTCTAACAGAATACTTGAAACTGGGTACTTTATAAAGAAAAGGAATTTATTTCTTATAGTTATGGAGGCTGAGAAGTCCAAGGTTGAGGGGCTGCATCTGGTGAGGCCTTCTTGCTGGTGGAGACTCTCTGCAGAGTCCCGGGGTGGCGCAGCGCATCACGTGGTGAGGGCTGAGCGTGCTCACGTGCTCCGGTCTCTCTTCTTCTTATAAAGA